GGAAGTTCGGGTCAGTCGGCTTGTCAGAACAGGCGGTAGGCAGAAAAAGTCCGAAAATGTCAGAGCAAGTTCAGGGGTCCGAATGTTCTCGCAAAGTTCTCAAATGTGAAAATGACCGAAGTCAGCACTTCCTTTTATAGGCAAAATGAGAAGGCGAAGGGTCGCTTCAAATTCAAATTTGGGCGGGAAAATCTCTCGGCCGTCTGCAAGGTGACACCTGTAACGGGCCGTCGCCTGTCACCGTGCGACACCTGTCACAGGCGACACGTGACCAGTCGCGTGCCACCTGTGAGGGGCAAATGATTAGGGGATTTTTATCCACCAATCACCGTCTGACAAGTGGACCAACCAGGTTCCGCCACGTGTCCTTCACGAAGGCCAACAGGAGCTTGCCACGTGTCAGTCACAGATACGTCCTCCACGGACCACTTAAGACACGCCACGTGTCCCACCCATGCCAAAGTGGGACAACCGGCCATCAAGGCCCATTTCAGTCTAGAGGCCCGATCAGCCCTAGGTTTACCTTAAGCCTAGAGAGTTGCACGCTTCCCAAGGCTATAAATACTCGATTAATCCTCATTAATCAGAAAACAAAAAAAACAACCGAATAATTAAGAGATCAAGCAGAGAAGAACAGACTTATTAACAACCGGCTAATCACGCTAACAACGCAGATTACCAACACTAAGCACTCTCACCTAGAGAGATCTCATTACTTTACTTTCTGTATTGATTACTCCTTAATCAGGTACTAACTTGACCGTTGGAGGCGGAGCTCTCAGGAGTCTCCGTTATTTTGCAGGTACAGACGTCCGGTTCCAGTCTCGGAATTGTAACTCTCCCGCAGGACATCAGAAAACCCCGAAACAAAAGTAGTAAATTCAAAAATCGAAAGTGAATAATAATACATCAATTAAGTTCAAAATTAACAGAGCATTATAACAGAACAAATTAGGGATAATTAAAAATTGAAAAATTATGATCACAATTACTCACATTGTTGCACAAACGAATCAACGAAACGAAGTCCAGAAGGAAACACACGCTCGCAATCGCGATCAAAATCAACGCAATCTCCAGATGCAGAATTCGCCATTGACGATCGGTAACAATTAACGAATTCGTTCAAAAAAATCAAATGAAGAAGATGAATTAGCGAGAGAAAAATGTAGATCAAAAATGGAGGTTGGTTGATCAATTGAAGAGAGAGAAAAAATAGGGTTTAAAATCATATATATACATAAATTGAATAATAAGAATCAAAGGAAAAAGGAAAAAAGAGGAAGAAAAGAAAAAAAGAAAAAAAGAAAAAAAAAAAAAAAAAAAAAAGGAAAGAATCGCAAAAGAGAACTCAATACCAGCTACAAAACGACGTAGCATAGGGGGGTGTAGGGAACACACCCTACACTAGGGTGTAGGGTAAAATTTTCACGTGCCTAGTAAGTGAAGTTTGTGAAAATTCTGCTTCTCCTAACTTCCAATTTCAAAATTAAAGGCACGTGGCTGATGTGGGTCCAGGGAACTAAAATTATCTTTTATGCCACCTTTTGAAGGTTTTACAAGTTCGCTGAGAACACCCCACCGTAGCCACTACCTGCAGCCAACAAGCCTCCTTTCGGATCACCTTCTAAAACAAACAGTCCAATCACTGATTTTCACACCGGCGAATTATCCACCATGGTCTCCTGGGTGGACCTTCAAACTCGCCTCTGCCTATGTTGTCGTTGGCGACGAAACAGAAAAGTTTCACACTTCGTTACTTTCCTTTGTCATCCTCTGATCTTAATGGAAGCTTCTTACTTATGTCTTCTCTTTCCACCCCATCAACTACCATCTCATGTTCTTCTAGTATCTAAATTATTAAAACATCCTAAAATACCCTTAGCCTACTGATATTGATGCATAACATGTGATTTCTAAAAATTTCATATAAGTTGCAACAATGTTTTATTTCTTTGTTTGGAAATTCTTTGTCCCTATCTTTCTTTCTCCATTAAACGCTCAGCAAATTTTTTTGTCTTGGAATCAGTTTTGAGAAGTTTATTGCAACTTATTTGACACGGAGGAAGTATTAATCTGCTTATTATAGACAAACAAGCTCAAGCTGATGACTGATGAGCGAGACAAATTTAAGGCACAAGTTGAAGATCTGTTGACAAATGAGGATGAACTTAAACTTACTTTTCAATCTATTGAGGATAAGGTAAAATTCATGGTTTCTTGGCACTTTCATAACTCCATGTGTTATACTTGATAGCTACTAAAACTCTAAGCTTATAACTATAGCTTTTCCACACTAAGATCCATTTACTTGCAGGTTTCGACAGAACAACATGAAGCAGATTATCTTTCAAGGAGAGTAGCCAAACTGGAAGAGGATATGCATGATGTAAGTTGTGTGTGTGCCATTTTTTTTTCATGGTGCAATATTAGTTAATCCGTTCTCTCATTGCATATAAGTTTATCTAAATTTAAACTGTTAATCTGTTATAGTCTAATTTATTTTAAACTGGCTCATGGTGTTATAGCCTTATATGCATAAAAAGGTATCTAGTGGGTCTGTAGTGGTTTATATTAAAGACTTAAAAGGGAAAAATACTTAAATGGAAAATTCTAGGTAGGTTCTGACGATACTTTGTACTCCATTAAGCAGGTGATAGGAAAGATTTGCAAGGAGAATGAGAAACAAGCAAGTTGAGAAGGATGTGTACCTTTCATTTTTGTGAAGCTGTAAATCCTGTTTGTCCCTTTTGAAAGCTGAGAAGATGTAAATCCTGTTTGTCCCTTTTGAAGCTGAGAAGTTGTAAATTCTGTTTGTGCCTATTATTTCTTAGAGAAGCAAGTTGAGAAGTTGCAATCTCCGTCTGCACATTTCTAGTTTGCCTTGACTGCAGCAACACCCAGAAGAGTCTAGTGTGGTACAGTTAACAAACAGAAATTTTGGAAACTGATGTGATGTGAAATAGGGGTGCAGTTTCAGAAACTTGTTTTCATGACTATTGACTTGATGTCGAATCATCACCATATGTTCAAATTAACAGATATCAGAACTCTTTACATTACGAACAAATCATTGTCTTAATATGCAAATGCAGTCAAGTTTTTAATAGACATTTGGCTATCAGCGTACGCATATATATGTCAAAATAGAAGGGTTCAGATTTCTGTATGCATAAAATGTGTACATGTTTGTTTGACTTGCTGGTAGGGCGATCCAGAGTAAGGGGCTTGTAATTGAAGCTGAGACCTCAACGATATCATGGAGGTTTGGATGCTCAAGGTCCAAGTTCCACGTGTTGTAGTTCTTACAGACATTAGGATTTGTGATTGTAATCTCCTTTATTAGTTTTATAGTCTCCTTTATTAGTTTTGTAAAAGTCTTAAATTTAGATTATACGATCCAAGTGTAAAAGTGTCATTTGGAGTGAATACCAACTTCCCTATTAGGCTATTAGCTTATATATAGAGATTATTCATAATGTTTAGAATAAGGGCTTCTTTGGTGCACCTTATTTTTGCTTATCTTAACTTATATGATCTGATCTGAATGTCAAATTTGACCAAACTTTGACCTTATATATACGATAATCTATGCGGAAAAAATATATCAAGTGGGGTCTTGTTAGATTCGTGATAATGTGTACTTTATTAATATATGATTTTCATTACGAAATTAAAGATATTTAGCGATAAAAAACTGCACATAGAACGATGATCTGATTTGTACTTATATTTTCTGTTCTAAACTTATTTTTTCTGAAATAAGTAAAACTAAGGTGAATTAAACATGGCCTATTTTATATGTACGTATGTGTACTGATAAGGCATAAAGATGTCATCGAAGATTATCAACGCACCCCACGTCCCCACCTAAATAAGTCTCGAGATAGGAAATAGAAAGAACACAACTAATACAAAGGGTGTTAGCGCCTGTTCTCCCCAACTTCTTTCAGTACAATTCAGTTGAGTTTAGTTCAATTCAATTCAATTCAGTTCCTAATTTCTTCCTTTTATTAAATATTCTTTTTAACTCAATTCAATTCAATCCTAATTTCCTTCTCTAATAAAATATTCTTTTTACCTTAATTCAATTCAATTCAGTTTGGTTCGGTTCAATTCAATTCAGCTTAGCTGTTTTCATCCAAAGCAAACATGCCCTTAATTACTCTATAAATCATTCCAAATCATGATGGATTTTAATTATTAACAAGGTCTAGTTTAGTAATGTTAACACCCGTGCAAATGTGTGATGCAACACCATACTTATAAACCAATATTTGACTATAATAATTTAATTTCTTACACTTATAATCTAATATCTGATAATTATAATCTAATTTCTGACAATTACAATCTATTATATGATAAATATAATCTAATATCTGATAATTATAATCTAATTTTTGAAAATTAAAACCTAATACCTTGACACTTATAATCTAATATCTGATAACTATAATCTACTCGTAATATCTAACCATTATTATCAAAATTATGTTACTTTTAATCTAATATCTTATATTTATAACTTAATATCTGACCATTATTATGAATATTATCTAATTTATGACAATTAAAATTTTTTATTTTTTTTTTCTGTTTGTATGACCGGACTCACGTGAGTCCGTTCTACACAATACTTTCACTTTAATGTCAATCATTAAAAAATGAAGAGTATTTGCAATTAATGGTTATAATCTAGTATCTTCAAACCAAACATAAACATTGTTTCAGCTAATTTTTCTCAAACTTAAGAATTTAAAATTTCAAATCTCTACTACATTTATATGGTTATGTAACACTTTCTTGTTTTCATGAAACTTTAACTACACTTATATACTTATAACCCGAAACGCTCGAATCAAATCTCGTACGATTTGCATCACTTTATTGTTTTCATTACTAACTTTATTTTGGTGTTTCACCCGCTTCACCCTTTACACTAATTTGGATTCGGGGTTCTTCCACCAAGTGCAGCCTTATTACCACTTCACTAACAGTCAATTCAATTGATTCTATTACTAACTTTAATTGTACATAAACCCAAATATCTCGTATCAAATCTCGTCTACATCATTATTAACCGTGCGACACCATCTATCCATCTTGTACGGACTATAATTGTTTTCATACTTGTATTTAAAAAAAAAAGGAGGGCACAATGAAGAAAGGAAGAAAGAGAAAAAGGGTGTAAAGATCCAAAAATCCGACAGGTCAATAAAATGTTGCACTCATGTGGGTGGGGGTTAGTTCAACAACGTAGTGCCACGTACGTGGTTCCCACCTTCACATGCCTTCTTATGTGCCATATCTTGGTTGGCCGACACCAATCATAATAAAATTCCTAATTTTTTTTATTTTTATTTTTTTTTTGTTTTCACATATTCTAAATAAAATTAAAACACAAAATTAAAAAAAATAAAAATTAAAACCCAGAAATTTACAATTTTATTTTTTTCACCCAAAAACCTTAGTTAAATCATATTTCCTTCAAAAAAAAAAAAAAAAAACCTTAGTTAAATCATATCAGATTCTCAACACTGTTAATATTTCAATTTTTTTTTTTGACAAGATCTAGGTTGATATAACCTATTTCATCAACACTAATCTTTTCCACTTCGATTAATTTTCATTGATTTTTTCCCCAATTCAATTCCAATTTTAATTTTTCTCAATTGGAAAGATTTAGGGTTTTTGCCGCTTTTTCAATTTGAAATTTTGTCAATTGATCGCCTTGAGTTTGAGTACTAGATCGCCGATTACAGCGATTTGGTACTCCGGCGAACGGCGGACGTCTTGATTCTCTTGTTGAATGTGCTCGAAGTTTAGTTTTTGATTCTGGGAAGATTAATGCATAATAAAATGGGCCCACCTCTTCGCAGGTTTGAAATTTTTCTGGGAAATTTCTGGGCTTTTTTTGTAGTGATTAACGGCTATTTTTGTTGATCTTATTCGTTTGATTATGTTTTTAGTGGGGTTTCGAAACGATCGAATGATAGCGCAAGGCTTGTAATGACTACTATTCTAGGTGTTGTTTTTGGGTTCTTCATTGGAGTTTCATTTCCTTCAGTTTCTGATAAGGTACATTGATTTATTTTGTAATTAATTTTTCAGTTTTCCATGATTTGGGTTCCAAATAAATGAAAAATGTTACTAGCATTTAGTTTAATTTAATAATTTCGATCGGAATTTTGAATTATGCTGTTTTTTTTTTTTTAAAAAAAAATTAATAAGTTATGATTGAGCTATGATTTGGGTTTCAGATTAAATTATCTTCAAGACTTATTTCCTCTTTTGATGGAATTTCTAAAAGTTCCGCGAAGTCTCTTGAAGATCTTGCATCATTGACAATCCCTAAGGTATGTCATTAATCGTTTTTCGTGTTTCGAATCGCGTGTTTTTTTTTCATTGTTTTCTTACCTTTGCTAGCTATCTTAGAAACTTGAATGAATTCTATTGATGGTTTTTACCAATTGCCACTACTTATTTTATTTTATTTTTTAGATATTTTACAATGCTTTAAATGAACTTCCTATTTTGCCTTTGACCCTTTGTTGTGTTGAAATAAGGGATTTCCAGAATTCCAGTTGGTCCTAATCTGAAATTCAGAAAAGGGCCAATGAGGTCGGATAAGGGTCAATGAGTTTTAATGAGTTCAGACTTCTTAAGAGGAATTCAAGTGAAAATTAAATAATATGATAATGTTTTTATATTGTTGTGTGCCTTATATTTGGGTTGCTTGGGTGTTTGTTAAGTTATCATAGTTTCAAACATATTAATTTAGGCTGGCATTGTTTAAATTTCTGCATCATATTAATACACGAAATGCCTGACTAGAAGCTTTTGTTGTCCAATTATATGCTGTATCATGATTGCATAACTACATGAAAATATCATATCTTTATTTTTAATCAACAAGAAGAATGTATATAGTCTGCATTAAGGTTTTTTGAGAGTTCTGTTTTTCGACCCACCATCATTTATAGCAAAAAACTGTTACTCTCTTCATTGATTTATGTTTGTACTAGTTTCTTTTGCATAGTTTAAATGTAATATTGTAATTTAATATCCTTCAAAATTCTTGTAAAATTGCATTTTTGACAAATAGAAATAAAAGATGAATCTACAAGATTCCATATGACTATATTTTGAGGTAATGAAAACTTTTGAAGTGTTAGATTCCATTTCCATTGGAATCTCTCAAAATTCCAAATGAGACAAACAAAAGAAAACTGAGGGTCGAGGGAGTACATTTTCCCAGTATATAAATAGAATCAAATTTTGATAACAAAAACAATCAGGACTTATGTTTCAAATTTTTATTGCAATTTTTTTAGCTTTATTCTTATTGCAGTGCTATTGTATATGGAGACCATGGCAGTTGATCAACATATTATCTTCACTTTTCTGCCCTTTATTGTAGCTTTGCCTATGTCATAGACAGTATTTGTTATGACTTTTGATGGATAAAGTTGTAGAGTTGATTTTTTAATTTTATAGTAAGAGCTTTTATCGAAGGAGTTCCAGATCTGTTGTAGACTTGTAGCCTCACCAAATATCATATCGTGCCTGAATTAAAGTATGATTGTTATTGTTGTGAAACTTGCTTTATTCTGTGGCTGGTAACATTAATACTGGTATTCTTTCAGATATATGTACCGACCAATCCGCGTGGTGCTGAGATGTTACCTCCAGGAATTGTAGTAGGAGAAAGTGATTTTTTTCTTCGAAGACTGTGGGGTGAACCGAGTGAGGTATACTTCTGTTGACTCAACAAATACCTATATTAGTGCTGTTGAGTGTTTCTAAGTATCTGACTGATACTCCCTCAATTCTGAGGCTGAAACATTGCATAAGTTCATAATAAAGGAACCTTGCTAAATTCCCATATATTTTTCATTGAATTAAATTTCTCTGTCTGAGGGCAAAGCTGCAGAAAACCTTGAGACAGAAAAGCAATTGAAATCTAAATAAGTTGATTTAACTTCTCAGGATCTCAATTTTTTTTCAAATAGTTCTCAAAGTCTGTTATCTACTTATTTTGCATTAATGACCTGGTCTCATTGATGTAATGTATACTTTATCTAAATGAAAAAAGGCAGACTGTTGGTTTGAAGGATGTTCTTGCAATTTCTGTGTGCACTTTTCACTCAAATTGTTTCTTAGTGTCTGGACTGTCATTTTTTTTTCGCTCTTTACTAATAGCATACAAACTTATGCATTAGGAATTGTTGTTATGTCTTAATTTGATAACAACCCCCCCCCCCCCACCCCCACCCCCCACCCTTTTCTCTTTTTTTGAGATATGTTGATTGATTTTGAAGAAAAAAATTGAAACTACCCTTTCCTTTCCCTTCGTTTTTGCAAAAAAAACTTCTCTTTTTTCATTATTGTATCGCTTTTACCTGCAGGATTTGAAAAAGAAGCCAAAATACTTGGTAACTTTCACTGTTGGATTAGCTCAGAGGGACAACATTAATAAAGCTGTAAAGAAGGTATTGAAATGTTAGCTTCTTCTAGAATACCACTGAAAGTATAAAATTATATTCAAGGACATGATATGAGTTCAAACTGTGTTGCAGTTCTCTGACGATTTCCAAATTTTGCTCTTCCACTATGATGGCAAAGTTACTGAATGGGATGAGTTTGAATGGTCCAAAAAAGCTATCCATGTCAGTGCTCCAAAGCAAACAAAATGGTTTGAATCCTTCTTACAACTCTTGCTATGTATAGCTAATAGCCTAGTTCTGTAGAAACGGATAATGGTAAATGTTGTTCCTATAACACAATCCATGGAATGATAGAAGTATAAATGATGTTTATATATGGAGTACTAGTTTTGTCAATTTTTTTGTGAATACAACAGCCCATTTAGTCAATCTGATTTCTCTCACAAATGCTTTAGCTGTATGAAATCTATTTGAAACAATGCTGAAAGCTGATAAGAGTTGATACTTTTAGATTCATGCATGGTTAAAATGACTAAGTAGTCCTGAATTTTGATTGCCTTGCGTGCACACTTTGTAACATGATTAGAACAATGAAGTAAATTTTCTCCCCATTATATATTCTGTTTTACTCTTGGTTTTGGCGCTCCTTTTTGTATCATATTTCCATTTTCCTTGATCTTAATTTGTATTCTGTTCCATAAAAAATAAGCTTTGTTGAGCTTGTGACATGCAAGGCATGATTTTTGTAAAGACTTGGGGATCAATGGTTCTTATCCATCTAATTTGTCAGGACTTATCTCCAAATTGGCAGGCATTTCTGACCTTTTTCTTTTTCCAATGGTTTACGGGAATATTTGTTAGCATTAGGTGCAAAGAATATGTAATTTCTGTTGTAAGCTTGTAACATAGTGATGTAATATGATTTAGACATACAGCTTATTGTGCTGCTTATATTTGACGTGGTCACCTTGTTCTGTCTCTCACTTAAATAATCTGCAGGTGGTATGCAAAGAGATTTCTCCACCCTGATGTTGTTGCTGCTTATGACTATATCTTTATCTGGGATGAAGATCTTGGTGTTGAACATTTCAATGCTGAGAAGTAAGTTGAAAATTTTCAATTGATTTGGTTTTATTATGATTTTAATTTCTAAGACAACTTTTTCTTGTTCAATTTTTTATTAGGTATATTCAATTGGTGAAGAAGTATGGCTTGGAGATTTCTCAACCTGGTCTTGAGCCTAATAATGGTTTGACATGGGAGATGACTAAGAGGAGAGGGGATAGAGAAGTTCACAAGTGTGCCTTCTATTTTAAGTTATGCAGTTGACATCAGTAATCCTTTTCCTCTCATGTGACCAAATTGTTTTTTTTTTTGCACTAGGGATACTGAGGAGAAACCAGGCTGGTGCTCCAACCCACACTTGCCTCCTTGTGCTGCGTATGTTCTTCTGTTCCTTGCGCGCTTATGACATTTGACAAAATAGTGGGAAAAGGAGGCTGAAGTAAAATAGAAAGATAAAAATTAAAAAAAAGAAAAAAAAAAAGAAAAGAAATAATCCTTGTATCATGTTATGGGTTGTTTTTTAGGACCTTAATAGCTTGATTTAATGCTGGGTCACATAATTTGAGCAAAACTGGGGTCACTCTACTTTTATTAACATGCACATACTTCAGTATTCATTGCATGTTTAATAGCTGCTTGATTGATATCTAATGCAAATGAATCTCTGTTTTGCTGATTAATTGCAGTTACTTTTCATGATTGGGAATGTTATGGATCTCTGAAAATTGAATATTGTGTGAATAAAATAATCCGAAGCATATCTAGTTAAAGAAATCACTCAAAGCCTATTACTTATCTCATGAAAGATTAAAGGGATTAGTAAACCATTCCCACACATTCTTTCTCTTCCTATTTAACTGTATTTTTGCTCTGGAAATGCTGCAGATTTGTGGAAATCATGGCCCCTGTTTTTTCTCGGGATGCTTGGCGCTGTGTGTGGCATATGATTCAGGTATTTGGTTTACGTTTTACATTTTTTTTTTATTTTTATTATTATTGCAAATTATTATCTATGGTTTTAATGTGCATAATCCTGTATGAATATTTATGCGAAGAATCTAAGTTTTTGTGTTATGTTTCACAGTTGAAGTTCGATGTTGGAGTATTTTGATGTTCTTATATCTCTAATTGATTGTCATTCTTATCATGCTTTCAGAATGATTTGGTACATGGGTGGGGACTGGATTTTGCTCTGAGAAGATGTGTAGAAGTAAGTCTTTCGTTTCTGGTTGTCATATCATTTTCATTTTCACTACCTATTCGGAGAGTTATATTGTAATACTTGCTTTTTCTTCTGTCTAGTATGTAATTAGTGTGTCACTGACTCACTTTCAAGGTAATTCCTTGCTTGTGTTTTGACTTGGGCAGCTAAGTATAGCATTAATTCTTTCTATAGCTGAATTCTGATCATTTTTATAATTTTTTTTTTATTTTTTTATTGGTGATTCTCGACAATAATGCCAGATAATTTTTTTTTTAAGTAGGCCCTATTAGTTTGAGCTCTTTATAAATGATATTTATCTTGATAATTTTTATGATTTTTTTTTTCTTTTTTGTGGAATTGGCCAAGTGGCCCTATCACTATTCTGGCTAAAAGTTTTTATGATCTGCATCTTTCATTTCGAATAATGTACTCCATTCTTAACTTTTTTGTTGTTTGTTCTGTAGCCTGCGCATGAGAAAATTGGTGTTGTAGATCAGCAATGGATAGTTCATCAAGTAATTCCTTCTCTTGGGAACCAGGTAAATAAATCTTTAAATAGCATATTTAAAATCTGAAGTGCTACTCCCCTCTCTTTTCTCTCTCTCTCCCTCTCGTTTTCCAAAAAATTACACTCAATTGCGAGGGGGAAAATGAGTTATCAGGTAGAGGCAAAGTTATCTATCAAGTATTCGAGGTCACTTGGGACCTGAGGTGGTTCTTAGTACTTACAGACTGTATATAAAATTGTATCCATTGAAGTCTATCTGTACCCTTGTACTATCAGTTAGTAGAGATAGGGCGTCCTATAATGGTTTAAGATGATGTCTTGGTTCTGAGTATTTTTTGTGTATTTGGAAATCATCGTGTCCTGCAGAAACAATTTTGATAGCTTTTAAAGATTAACAGATTGTTTTGCATTTTTTTTTTTTTAAATGTTAGAAATGTAATCTTATTTGATGAAAAGGCTGTACACAATTATGAGATTTAACTTGATTTTTACATTTTCAAAACTTGTATAAGTAACGGTGAATTTGTAGTGGCTTTGGACATGTAAAGTCTTCGTAGGTTTTTGAGGTCCTAAAAGTGAAACTTCACATACAAGTGTTTTTTAGAGTAATATTTATAATTTATAATAATAAAGCATGAGTGGCTTTAAATCTTTGGAGACGGTGCTTCCCTATTAAATTGTTAACGATCTCCCTTCATTTGCAGTGTGTTCTTAATCTCACAAACTCGTATATTTACTTTCATCCCACATACATGCTATTCTGCAGCTTTCTTTGAATTCAATGTTTTATCATTTTGTGATTCTTTTTAAGTAGTGCATCTATCCATTTTCAGGGTCAGGCTGAGAATGGCAAGGCTCCATGGCAAGGGGTAGGGACTTGTACTTTAATATCTTTAATCTGCTTGTGAATTTCTCTCTTCTTCTGTTTCTTTTTGCTCACATTGATCATGTAGACATGTTTGCTCACATATGTTGTGTAGTAGATGTAATGTTAATCTTTTAACTACTACAGTCATGCTATATTTTGACTGCTTTTTCCCTAGAAGTTCCAAACTGATTTCTTTTGTTCATCTATGATCTTATATCAAGGTCCGTGAGAGATGCAAGAAAGAGTGGTCTCTGTTCCAAAATCGACTTGCAAATGCTGACAAGGAATACCTTGCACAACTCGGGAAGGGCTAATGACTATTCTTTATGTGTAGCGTAGCCGCATGCTAATGCTGATCACTTTTGATCTCTCTACCAGCATCGTGATTGGAAGATTAGTTCAGTTCTTACTAATGATGTGCTTTCTGGTTTGGTAATGGGTATTCCTTTGGCCTCTAAGGATATAGGGAAGAAATAACTACACATTGTGCATAGAATACTATATTAATGCTAGGTAACCTGTGTAGATTATTATTCTTCCCCACCTTTGCGTCCAATATTGCTGTTATATTGGATTTACCCTAGTGGTTGTGTTGCAGATATGCGTAGATTTTAGGGGTCATCCTTGTATTAAATTGTTGTACAAATTTTGAACAGCTGAGGCAAACTGTTAGATGAGACTTAGTCCCCATTCCTTTGTTTTTGCGGAGGCGAGGGATTGTTCATCCTTGTGGATTTCTTTGGGTAGCTTCGTGTTAGAAACATGGTTGATGAATTCTTTCTGCCACATCAACCGATTTTTCTATCTTAATTCCAGTTCTCTTTCTCTTCACTGTCTCTATATATCTGGTCCAGGTTTTTTTTTATCCAACTTTTACAGATTTTCATAATCTTTGTTTTACTTCGCTGTGAGAATTACTTATAAGCATTAGTGCATTACAAGTAATTAATTCTCTAACATTGTTGCATTTGGACTTGACATATGTGCGATCCTGTAGGCTGTAGCATGCATATTTGGCAAACTTAGATGTTTCTTGATTGGGATGCATTAAAAAACTTAAAAAATAATCTAATTTGTCAAAAAAAAAAAAAACAGTAATTTGTAAGTTGTGGAAATAGAGGGCTGCATACATATGCATTCTCAAAATACTCCGTATGATTTAAACCTTAAATAATCTCTTTATTTTGACCATTTTGAGATCTTTCGGATTTGGAACGTTAACCACCGTGTAATAAGTGTAAAGCAAGCGACTTTGTCTAAAGCCCTTTTTTTTTCACCAATCCAACCACTATTTTTTACAAACTTGCTCAACACCATGCATAAATAGAAAATTGGTTTAAAACCATATTTTGATCTTGTTGGTAAAAGGCAATATGTCTTAGCTACAACAAGGGCAAGCCCAAAACACGCGGCCCAAATCAAATAACCTAAACAGCATGTCCGCGATCCGCCCAAATCAACACCATGCTCTATAAAATGAACATTTAGTATTTAGTTAAAAAATATGAACATGGAAAAAAAATGAACATTTAATAACAAAAAATGAACACGTAAAAAAATGAACATTTAATACTAAAAAGTGAACATGTTATAAGAAAATGAACATTTATTAAAAATGAACATGATTATCATATAATCATAAATTTGGTAGACCATGACCTTAAAAATGAACATTTAGTTAAAAAAAAAAAAATCTGTGATAAAAAATGAACACTTAGTAATAAAAAGTGAACATGCCAAAAAAAGAAATGAACATTTAGTATATTAGAAATGAACCATCATATAACACTTTAAAAAATGAACATTTAGTATGAAAAAATGAACACTTATAAAATTGAACATGTAACAAAACGTTATGAACATTTAGGATATTAAAAATGAACATGATTTTCATAAAGTTTCAAATTCATTTTAGATAATTATTAATGAAAAATAAAGATAAAATAAATTAGTAAAATATGTTCATTTTTTATGTATTTAATATTCATTTTCGGTGTACTAAATGCTCATTTTGTAAAAGATGTTCATTTTTAAATTCTTGTGTGTTCATTTTTTATAATAGAAATTATATCAAGATTGATTGTAATTATTTAAACTCTAAAAAATTGAATATACACCTTAAATCTAATCTTTTTTTTTTTTTTTTTTTTTTTTTTTAACAGCTAGAGAAAAGGGAAACTAATCCCTAAACTTAGTGAAACTAACAGAAATACAATGAAAATAAGGAAATAAGGTACAATGTCATCAATTTTCTTTTTTATCATCCTATCCCCTTGTATGCTAGTGTGATCACTTTGCATCCACTTGAGAATTCTCCTGTTTGCAACCTCAATATCCAAGTGCCAAAGCTGTAATCTTTGTGCTTCTTCAAGACCTCTGAGAATCACACTCAGAAGTTCAGCTTCACGGTTCTACTGTTGCTGCTGATCTTCCCCCCGTTTGAAGGTGACACCATCAGATTTCAAGAGCCATTCCCATCTTCTTTTCTTTCCACTCCTTCGGTTGTGAGATATACCTAATGTGATAGTGCTGCAAGAACCAGCCCCTGTAACCAATTGGATACTGTCTATGTGTTGTGTACTCTTATCTAAATTAGTAACCTGCTCTTTGTCATGCTCATATTCGAACCCAGGAGAACCTGACTCAGAGTTCTCAGAGTCTGTAATAGCTTCAGATTTTGAGTTCTGAAATCTGGAGTAATGAAAGCTCATTTTTCTTTCCAAGGAAATGGTAGCAGACCTTGAATTCAGATTAATGTTCCTGAAAATTTTGTTGTTTCTAATTTCCCAGATACAATCAAGCACAGCAAGTAAAAGATTGTATTCCTCATTCCACTTTCTTTTCTTGTCGTTTAGCATCCTCATCCAATTATAAATCCACTCAGCTAGGGGAATGTCTGCTTGATTGGCAAAATTGAGACCTAGCCTGCACCCTTTCCACAAATGACTTGCAAAACTACATTCCCTAAACAAGTGTTCAATTGTTTCTAAGTGACTGCTGCTGGGTGAATCATCAATAGAACATAATCTGCAGTTGTAGTCATCTCCTAAACCTCTTTTTTTCCTTTCACAGCCCACAGGAAGAGCACCCTTCATGATTTTCCACATAAAGATTTTTTGTTTCGGGTTTCCTTTAGCTTTCCAGAATTCCTTCCAATTAATATTTTGCTTCACATGACTATTTGTGTTCCTGTCATTTTGATGTTTTTTTGCAAGAGAAATCTGTAGCCACTTCTTACCGAGTACTTCCCACTTTTATCACATTTCCATGTAATCAAGTCCTCATATCCCTCAATCATAGGCTTGATAATACAGATTTTCTTAACAGAAACATCAGAAAACCAATTATTACAAGCATCCAGGTCCCAATTCCCATCATCCTTTCTAAGCTTAGCTACACTACTATTGTCAGAGCTTCCTTGGTATCTCCATTTCGGGGTTGCACCATAGACCCAGGGATGGTGAATTTTTGCGAGGAACCCATCACCTATGGCACAAGAACAACCTTTTTTTAACACTTGTAATCCCCATTTGATACCATTCCAACCCCACGAGCCTAAGCTTTTCCTACTCCAAGACTCTTCAAAAAGAGTTTGCCGGTCAACACCATATTTAGCTCTAAAGACTTGGCTGATTAAAGAGTCTCTGTCATATACTATGCGCCATCCTTGCTTGGCCAGAAGCGCTTGGTTGAAAAACCAAGCATCAAGGATGCCAACACCACCCTTGTCCTTACTCTGAGTGAGGTGAGCCCACCCTTTCTAATGAACACCTTTATCACTCTTGTTGCCAAGCCACCAAAATCTAGCAACAATGCTATTAATGCGTTATAAGATTATAGCAGGGCACTTAAAAACCAAAAGCACATAAGTTCCTAGATTGGAAAGCACTGATTTTATCAGTGTTAGTCTACCAGCATAAGATAGAAAAATCGAGTTCCGAGCTGTCAGCCTTTCCTTCACCTTATCCACCAACTTACCAAAAATTTGCTATTTTGAGGAACCAAAATCAGCAGGTATCCCCAAATAAGTATCAAACTTATTGCTTCTTGAGATTCCAAGATCTTCACTATGTTTTTTTATCTCCTCCTCACTAGTATACAGGCTTGTCAATAAGACCGATTTTTCTTCGCTTATAACCTGGCTAGAGGCCCTGCAATAAACTTCAAGGACCTGTTTTAAAGTAGCCACATTTTTCTCATTCCCTTGTAAAAAGAAAGCTGAGTCATCAGCAAAAAAAACAAGTGGCTGATTTTAGGAGCTTTATTTGCCACATTAATACCAACAATACCACCTCTGCATTCTTCATTTCTAACGAGCCCCGAGAGACATTCCATGCGCAAAATGAAAAGGTACGGGGAGAGGGGGTCTCCTTGTCGAAGACCACAATTTGGAGAAAAATTTTCCCTTGGGGAGCCATTAATAATTATAGAAAAGGAAACCATGGTTACACAATTCATTATTTTTTTCACCATCAAATCTGGTAGACCAAACTTTATAAGGACATGTTCCAAAAATTCTCATTTGATCCTATCGTAAGCTTTGCTCATGTCAGTCTTTATAGCCAACTTCCTTCTCAAACCTTTTTTTTATTTTCCTTATATTTTTTAGGAGTTCGTGAGCTAGCTAGATATTATTAGAGATTGCACTCCCCGGGATAAAGGCATTTTGAAAATGACTGACTAGACCGCTTATCACTCTCCTTAGCCTATTTGTGATACATTTAGAAATGATTTTATAAACCACATTGCAAAGTCCAATAGGCCTTAGCTTATCCATGGTTTCCGGATTTTCACATTTAGGAATTAAGGCAATATTAGTGCAATTTAGTTCCTTTAAAATAATACCTGTTCTAAGGCAAGAAAGCACAACATCTGTCACATCTTCCTGTACCCAGCCCAATTTTTTTGATAGAAACCAGCAGGAACACCATCCGGACCCGGAGCTTTCCAAGGCTTCGTGGCAAAAAGAGCGTCTTCTACCTTAAATCTAATCTTGATTCATCATAGAGAAAATAATTATTGATTTGTAACATGATTAGAAATTAAAAAAAAAAAAAAAAAAAAAAGAGAGATAGAGAGGAGAGAGAAAATGACTACAAATTAAGCAATACAATTGATATTCATTAACAATCAAGCAATTTAATCAAGCAATTTGTGATATTCATCACAAATTCATAATAATTTCAAATAATCAAACAATAAATCATCATGCATGATCAACAAAATCATACAAAATACAATTACAAATTGATAAAATCTAACCTCCATTGTTTTCATTGACCTTCAATTTTTTCTCTCCTCCATATTTTTCTTTCCTTTTTGATAAAGTCAATTAATTGAATCTGAAACTCATAGATTTAGAAAGAAACGAGTAAACCCATCAAAACACAAATTACTAATTAAAAAATTTATATAAATAAAGAAGAAACTTTAAAGATTGAAGGGAAGTGAGGTAGAGAGGAGAGAGAAAATTTTAAATTGAGAAGAAAACTGAAGAGAGAGAAAAATAATAGAGCTAAGGAAGAAGAAGAGAGAGAATTAAAATATAAGGAAGAAAAAAGCGTATGTTCATTTTAATGTACTATATGTTCACATTTAATATTGTTGCAGCTAGTTTGGCTGCACTAGAACGCAGCCAAGAATTTGCGGGTAAGAGGTTTTAGCAGGGTGTGCGTGAGTGTGTTTTGAGGGGAGGGTTAAGGCGAGGCTGCGCTGGAATGGCTGGTGGCCAACTATGAGGAGGATAAAGAATGAGGTAGAAGGGGGATTTTGTAAAAATCGGGTGGGTAACAAGGTGGGTTTTGTGAAAAAAAATATCCATAATTTTTAGTGGTGGAATTGCTTGGGTAAGGTTTTGAAATTGGTTTTATAGTTCCAAATTAAGTTTAGAATTAGCAAATAAATAAATAAATGTAATATTTCATTTGGCGTTTAAAGAAGTGAATTGCTAAATACCGCCAACGTTTTTTTTATCAAATCGCCAACAAAAGAGATGAAGGGACAAAATCACCCTTACTTATCCACATTTGGCTTTCTCTCTCCTAAGTCCATCAAGACTCAAACTCATCCATCAACCACCACAAAATTAAAGCAACCACCCACACCACCACAAGTCCACGACCACCACCACCCACCACCGACGCCCACGCCCACGACCACCAAGAGATACCAGATTATTTTTTATATGTCGCCCAACAAACGCAGTCAACAAACGATGACCCACCACCTTCCCTTGTCGGCAGGAAGGTGGCTTTTTTTTTTAATTTCCGGTGACCAACACAACCGACACACAAATCAGGTCAATCGACATGGTAATCGGCGTTCAAAACCGGTTACCGTGCCGGTTGACTAGTTTTGGACGCCAGTAACCACGGTCAACCGGAGGCCAAAAACCGGTCAACCTGCACGGTAACCTTGTTTTGGACACCGGTTACCGGTGACGTTCACCGGTTTTGACTGCTGATTGATGACCCCAGAATAAATTAAAAAAAGTAACCCCTTCCCCACCGTTCCATTAATACCTCTCCGTTGTATTCGCCGGTCGCCGCTGCCTTTTACTCGCTGACCCCTACACTGTCACAAAGCCATAACCATGCATGTCGCCGCTACCCTACATTGTCACGCCGCTGCTACCCTTCATTGTTGTGCTGCTACTGCCCTTCACCTCCACCCAATATGGTTGTACATTAGTTTTTCTGAACAATGGTTGTATGGTAATTGGTGACAGCAATGGTGGATTGGTAGTTGTGGATGGTCAAAGAGAGGAAAAAAAAAAAAGAAAAAAAAAGAGTAAGGGTATTATTGTCCCTTTACATCAAATGTTGGCGATTTTGATAAATATTATTGGCGGTGTTGAACACCCCTCTTTAAGAAACAGCGCAATTGACACGTAAAACAAGACAATTACATTTTTTTGTCGATTTTGACCTCAATTTGGTTTTTCAAGAACTAAAATTATCTTATACCTTACTTGAACAATTTCTGCGGATAAAAAAAAAATAATGAAACGCATTCGTGCAAATGAGAGATTTACATGTTTTTTTTTAAAAAAAAAAAAAATTCTAAATGTGAGCTAAATTTGGTTCCATAATGGAACATTTTCTAACACGTAAATTGATTTTAAAAAAGGACAATGGCCTCACTAACGATTATTGAGTAAATATAACAGAATTCGTTAACAGCAGGATGACAACAAGAATATTGTATGGTTAATAATTAAACCCAAGGTTACAATGTGTAACTTAAAAAGGCACAACTTGGTAAAATCAATATTAGAGGGTTATAATGAAGAATTTCCCGAATTTCTTTGTTTGGGTTTTTTTATTTTTTTTACATTTAAACAATTCTAATTTGTCGTAAAAACTAAAAATGTACTTGTAAACCAAGTACAATTTTAATAAGGAAAATGTTATATGTAGCTCTATCCATTAAATACACACTAAAAAATTGTATAAATTTAGAAAATTATAAAAATATAAACACTAATTACTCTAATTTACACATATTTTTATCATAAATTCCTAATTTTATACGGAGTAAAATTTTCAAGAGTATATATATGAACTTTGGGCTTCTTAGAGCATTACCCATGAATTAATTGTAGGTAGTGCTACTACTCACTCGATACCATAATAAATGACAAAATCAAATTAGACATACGTACATGACTACATGTCAATATGAATTTGACAACTAATCCGAAGTAGATACCGTAATGGAAACATTTATTTGGTTCAGGGGTAATCGACTAAAATAAGGGTAATGTTATATGCAATCCTACGGGTTGTATATAAGCATTTAATATATTCCTTTTTTAAGTATTAAGTTGAAAATTTATTGACAATTCACGAGTAAATCGATGTAATAAATTATATATTTATAGCCTATTTCTCCACTTTTAGTCTCTTATATGCAGCCCTTAGGGCTGTATATATCTTTTTCCTTTTCAAAATAGTGCTTTTTAAAGATAGTAAATGACCAAAAAAAATAAAAAAAAAATAAAAAAAATTATACATAATTACATCCTCACTTTTTAGAAATTTGAGATAATTCTTATTAATACGGAGTAATTTCTAGACAATTATATTTAAAATGTTTATTTACATATTTGCCCTCAAATTTAGGCCCTGTTCTTTTGAGCTTCTGTCAGAGCAGAGCAGATTTCGACATTATTATTAAATGTTAAAATTATTATTATTATTATTATTATTATTATTATTATTTTATTATTATTAAGTGCATACCATTGATTTAGGTGAGTGAAAACACATATAAAAGCAAACATCCTGAAGTGCCAAGAATGAATTGGCAACCCCTTCAATATGCCCTATAACAATCGGGGTTGTCTGACTTCGTTCCTGGTCATGTTGTGTCGGCGGCGGCTCAGCGGAAGCGGGACAAGTATGGGGCGCGTTGTAGGGCTATTGGATATGGTTTTCTTCCTTTCTCCTTTTCTTCGTTGGGGGAATTAGAGAAGGATTTTATTGCGTTGCTGAAGCGGGTTCAGGCGTTCGCTAAGACTCAGGATATTGGTGCTCGTGCGGCTGCTCACATCTTCAGCAGGATCGGGTTCGCAATAGCTAGAGGGGTGGGGGCCCAGATTGTATCTCGGCTCCCCACCAATTTCTTGTAAATTGATTGACTTTTTAGGTTTTTTATATTAATAATAATATTAATAATAATAATAATAATAATAATAATTTTAAACACATCAATTATTATCATCAATATAATATTAATTATTATTACTACTAATTATTTATTATTATTATTGTTATTATTAATTATTAGTTGAAAGCAGAGCAGATTTCTTTTGAGCGGAGCAGAACAGCTCTAAAGAACGGGGTTTTAGAATATATTTAGGGATAGAGGTAATAGTAAAGATGTATAGTCAAATTTAGAATATAAATAGTGAGAAATGTCAAGACATGACAATATTCTCAAACAAGGTTAATTGAATCTAAGCAAGCACTATTATCTTTTCCTTAAGGAGTGATGCTACACATATAATGGTTGTATGTCGTAGCCCACTTACAATACTATTATATGTATGCCACGTTAAAATAGAGGAAAAAAATACAGAGGAAAAGGGAAAAAATAGGGAAGCAAGATAGGGAAGGTGGGCCTCAAAATACAAACCAATCAAATGCTGCCAACAACAGTTGTATGTGGGCCACTACATACAACTATTGTATGTGATTATATGTATCCTTAAGGCCTGTTCTGATACAATTATTTTCATTTCAGTGCAATTCTAATAAGTTCAGTTCAGTTCAGCTCCTAATTTCCTTCTCTTATAAATATTCAGTTCAGATCAGTTCCTAATTTCCTTCTCTTATAAAATATTCAATTCAGTTCAGTTCAGTTCAGTTCAATCAATCAAAATAGGCCTTAGTATAGAAAATCTAAAGCAAGCATTATGTTGAAGTGTAGGGAATCTAGGCATCTTCCTTGTTTCTCATTGGAACGAGTATTCTACGATAAATGATAATTTGTACTTTAGTCAGTTTAGTGCATATAAACATCGTAGATTGTGAAACACTAATGAACAACTAATTATGTCAACAATATTGTGCCAGTGCACTACTGTTGTATAGTCATACTTCGTACTCCGTATTAAGTTATTAACGGTGTAATCAAATCGTTACTAGCTTGCTACCAGCCTAAAACTGTACTGGTCTACTAATCTTCAAAAATTGGCTATGCTCACTTCATTTTGTTTGATATGATTTGAATATTTCTAATTAATTTAATTTTATTTTACAATTTAACTAAATTATAACCTTATTTGCACATTATTCCTTTAAACAAATTAAAAATTAAAAAATAAAATCAAATGAGATGTTAGATTTAATTTGTATTCATCTGTAGTTTTCGAACATAAAAGATTTAATATTTAGCAAATTTCAAGCCTCTATATAGAGATTCAAGTCCATTTAAAAACTGATCTTGAATTGGATCGATAAGTTATTTAAAATTATGCATAAAAATCCGTGAAAATAATTAATTATTTGATTTTATATCCATTCATTTATTAGAAAGATGTGTATAATATGAGTTATTTTATACCAAGTATTAGTTTAGGTCATAACCAAGAATTGGCATTAAACAGTTAGGCCCTGTTCTTTTGTACTTATTTTAAGTTCAATTCAGTTCAACTTAGTTTAGCTTAGTTCATTGTCTACTTCATTTCAATTTAGTTTAGCTCAAAAGAATAAGGCATTAGTCTTACTTCTTTTGCCTGTTTCCATCTTATTATAAAAAATAAAAATTAAATATGAAAACAAATATGTTAAAATCGGTTCAAACCATGTTTGGACGGACACTATAGGTATGGTCGTACATGGTCCCAATATAAATGATCCAATCTCTTGATCTCCATTTTCAAATTTCTGGTTTTCACTTAGGTTCTAGCTAGACCAATAAATATGTGAATGTAGTAGGAATATAATGGTGCCTAATTACTTATAACTCTTAGGAAAATTTGATTTATATAATCCAACATTTGACGTATTTATTTTTAATAATCCAACCTTTTGATTATTACACAATAATCCAAGCTTTAGGGGTGTCTTAGATTATCAGGCTAAGGTGACCTGCGACTTGTTTCTCAGGTAATTTTTTTTTTTCATTTCATTGGAAGGAATGAGCTGATGGAAATTATGGAGGAGAAGGAAGGAGGTGGGGTGCTCGGCAATTGGATGGACCGATTGTGGGTGGTCGGATTTTGGAGGGGAGGGTGGTGTCGTGCGTGGTGGTGGTCGGAATTTGGAGGGGAAAGAGTGGTGGTGGTCGATTTTTGGAGGGGAAGCGGTGGTGGTGTTGTCATGGAGGTTTGAAGGGAAGAACGAGGGGAAAAATAGGGGATTTTTTTTAATTTAATTTTTGCAAAATAAAAATTAAAAATACTTATTAGACTAATGACAATCCGA